CAGGTTAGCGGGCATTGCTGGGAGCGGATCAAGCGCATGGAGCAACTTTGGAAAGGTCTTAGTAAAATCATGGGATCTCTAGTCCTTCCTCTGAATGGAGATGGATTTGATTTTCACCCTTCACCTTTCCAAACTGTGTCCTCATCTTCAATAAACAGCTGCTCTGAACTCTTCATCCATGACAACCTAGCTGAGCTTTTATTTTTCTCCTCATTTTTCACAGGTCACCAGTATGGAACAGCAAATCACGGAGTCCAACTTGGGGGAGCGAAATGCAGCAACAGGTTTCCACAGCCATCGGTCTCCAGGCGAGTGTTGAGAAAACTTTTGTGGCCCTCTCTGAGTAGGGCTTCTCACCCGCTTGGAAATGGGTTGTTGTATGTACACTGAGTCCCTCTTCCCCAAAGCCCAATTCTGCAGAAGAGCAGGTGGCACTAGAGAGCATGGAGTTAAGCACATCATTAGTATTCAGATCACTAGTGTAGAGGAGAGCCACTAGTTGATGAATAAAATCTATGGTTACTCAGTGGTGGAACCAAGAATATGGAAGGGTTCTTGCTCTGTTGGTGCTCATTTCACTCAATGTTAGCATCTTGAGATGGCCTATTTGGAATTCCATCAAGACTTTCCACTTTTTTTCCAGCCTTGTTAGATGGTACCTCCCAGATGGCCACCCTAGTTGTTCCTCTCCCCAGTCATCCCTGGTGACTACTCCTCCAGACTTTTGTTCTCTGGATGTCCAAGAACCTTTCCTGTCCTCCGATTTCTTCCCAGGTGGTCTTGTAGGAAGAGAGGCAAGAAACAGAAGTTGCTCCAGCCTGAACAATCGCAAGTTAACCCAGACTTGCTTGCCGGACTCTCCAGACGATGAGGTCAGTGGCCACAGCCAGACCACTGTGGACCGGCCACGTAGCAGGACGTGCTCTTACAGCCGGCTGTCAGACTGTTCCTCAGAGAGCGTTGGTATTTCTGAGAGAGACTCTTTTGGCTTGGCCAGAGAAGACAAAGCCACCCCATCTAAGCCAGTGAAGATGTGCTGCGGGGTCTTCAGCCAGCCAGCTGCCCCACAGACTCCTTGCACCCACTGCTCAGTGCCTGTAAACAGTTTGCCCCACAAATGCCTCAAGAGGACGGCCCAACAGCGGGCAAGGAAGAACGCCATTTGCAACATTGTCCGATCCACTAGTGACCCTTTATCCTGTTCAGCTACTACAGAAGGTAAGGAGTGTTTAGGAATACGCGCAGCTCCTTCCTGATCATGATTTCCATTTGTTGTCTAACCATTGTTCATTCCAACATCAACCCCAAGAAGGCCCTGTCTCACATATTTATAGAGCATGACGATTGTAGAGCTTGTAGGACTTTTCAGATCTTAAAGCCCAGGTTGGCACATTTGGGAGTAGAGACTTTTCGTTTCCTTAACATGTTTATTCTTATTATAATTCAAGCTACTCGGGTCAGTGTTTGTGATTCCTCTTCCCCAACCCTTTTATTCAATAACTCTGTGACAGCAAAGGGAATCATTGGATTAAGCTCATTCTGGGAGCATCACAGAACGGCTACAAATGTTCACCAGTAATTCAGGCCACCTCCTCACTATTGGATGTTGGTATGAGAAGGGTTAGGGTTAGAGCTAGGCAGTAGCATTGTGGAACATAGAAGGCCAAGATCGCCCGTATCAGTTATAGAATAAGAGGTCAGGAGACAGAGAGAATTGTTAGATTATACATGGAGGAGAATTTTGCTTCCGAATTACCCATGCAGTAAGGACTTCTTGTACTGAATAAGAGACAAGCGCATCCAGTGTGGATTACTAACAGGATGAAGCACAGATGAAATATACAGAGTTCTTTCATGGACAATTGTCAGGTGCCAAAGATCAAGTCCACAAGTGAAGATTCAATTAAATGGATTTATGCTACTCATGCCCATGGACAGGAATCTTCTCAACTCAGGTGAGCACCTGCTAGGGGTTAGATAAGGGTCAATGGAATTCAAGGGAGGTTGAACTTTGCTGTGTAGGGATTCTAGGCTGATCCCTCTTTTGACACCACGCCCAGGTTCTGCCAATTCTTCTCATATACCTTAGGCCAGTGGTTCTCAACCTTTCTAATGCTGTGACCCCATAATACAGTTCCCCATGTTGTGGTGACCCCCAACCACTTATACATCACCGGGTGCCAGGGGCGTGGCCAAAGAAAAGGGGAAAAAAATGGCAGACAGCCTTGTTTGGCGACCCCCGTGAAATGGTCGTTCGACCCCAAATGGGGTCCCGACCCACAGGTTGAGAACCACTGCCTTAGGCCCTAATGGTGCACTTGGGAAAAGTTTTCTCAGAAGAGAAGTCATAGCCTCTTCGGTTGGTGACACTCTCATTTTAGGAGCCATGAGGTTAAGGCTTACAAGTTGGGCAACATCTCTAGGGTGATTTGGTCACCATAAAGATCCTTAAACTAACCAGGTATCACTTCTCCACTCCCAGTGGTGACCACACTGTGACTTCACTTGGTGTATGTCCAGCTGAGCTACCATTTTAAAGCTCCTTTTCTCCCCCTCCGTCCCCCCCTTTTAGTTCCTGTGTCTAGTCCTCATGTGGCTGCCTCTACTTGCCAGGACTCCAGGAACCGTCTTGTGCCAACCGGAAAACCAAGGGACCCCCCAAAAGCCGAACTTTCCCAGAAGCCAAAAGTCATACTGAGCATCTGCAAAGAGCGGCCCCACTCCTTGGTGGACCTACAGGCCTACAAGGACACTAAGATTCTGGTGGCCAAATTTTTGGAACATTCGAACTGCAACTTGACCCCAGAAGTGCGCCACGTGGTCAACAGGATCCGGTCTGTCATCAAGTCTGATGAACGGTACATGGAAGAAGCCATTTTTAGTGCCAACATCATTGATCAGGTGAGTGGCCTCTCTGAGTGACTCAGTGGGACCAAGATGGGTGAAGAAGAGATGAATCAATATGCCCTAAATAGCCAGGTCCTTCCTTCCTTCCTTCCTTCCTTCCTTCCTTCCTTCCTTCCTTCCTTCCTTCCTTCCTTCCTTCCTTCCTTCCTTCCTTCCTTCCCCTTTCTACTGCTTCTTCCTTCCTTCCCCTTTCTACTGCTTCTTCCTTCCTTCCTTCTTTCTTTCTTTCTTTCTTTTCTTGCTTCTTTCTTTCTTTCTTTCTTTCTTTCTTTCTTTCTTTCTTTCTTTCTTTCTTTCTTTCTTTCTTTTCTGAAATAAAACCCCAATTGAAACCCCAATAAACTTCCACTCCCCTGGTGACAACAATCAGCCCAAGCCCTTGATGGGCCCTGCACCACCGTGTCTTTTATACCTGGCTCTCTCTTCCACAGGTCATCATGGGCTCCCAGCAGAATGTGGATACCTCAAGAAAGCGGCTTCAGGAAGACCTCCATCTCCAAAGCTGTGGAGCCCTAAGCTCTCCCGTTGCCTTCTTACGCAGGGCTCCTATCACTCATGCCTTTGAAAGAGGAAGACCCCACAGTTTAATTGAAGTGTGCCGAGAGACCATCCTTTGACAATGGGCCTTTTGCTCCACTGAGGAATACAAACTCTGCAAAAGAGATTGTGAGGAGCCGGGTAATGGATGGAGATTCATCCCCTCTATGGCTGTCTTTGAAGAAGCAAACGGAAACTCAAACAGTGTCTCTGAAAGAGTCTTCCTCTTGTAGAGGTCCACGCTAGATTTTTATTCCCAGGTCTGAGCGCTCAACTCTTCATGACTGCATATTCAACCATGACTCTTTTATGGAAAAATAATTGCTTCTTATTTAACAATGAAACAAACAAAAAACCCACTGAAGCATATCTTTTTCTCCTACTAAGGAATTTGGTTTTCTAAGTTCTAAGGGGTATGTCTGGGGAGTAAGGGAGAGTGGGGTGGGCTGGGGTAGAGTGGAGTGTGGCAAGGGAAGGAAATAAACTTTCTTGCTAAGCTGCAGTGATGCTTCTGTACAATTTAGGAGTTGCATTTTAATCACTGTACCTCGAAAGTGTTTGCACCAAATCTGAACAGCGTTTTCATAATTAAAAGGGTATTTCTGGAGATGACAGACTTCCAGAACTGATTTTGTGCTGGCAATAGATCAACCTCTTCCTCTTTCTCTCTCTGCTGTCATTGTTGGGTTACTTGAACTGGGAAGAACGAGAACAACATCGAGAATGTGGTTTCCAATTCCTGATTCCAATGGGGTCATTAGCATTGTATTTTGTTTTGGGGTTTATTAATTTCCATTTTTTTCATAGCCCACATTTGGTGGACCTTAGAAAATTCAAGTTCAAACTCCCCATCAATGACTGAAGTTCACAGAGAACTTTGAACTGGCTGCATTCTCATTTCTTCAGAAGATTGGAAGAAAAGAGTGTTATGCATATCACTGTTAGCTTCTGAAAGAAATGTGCAGCAGGCATCTAACCAATTCCTTTGTTGTTTTGAGAACTCTTATTCTGCTCACTTAGGGCTCTTTCTTCAGAGTTCCATTCTTACTTCACTCTGTCTTAAGGAAACCCATGTAAACATCTCCTTTTGGCCTGGTGGTTTTCTGGACAGTGAAAACACAACTTATATCACCCCATAATATCTGGCTGGCTAGAAATTGTAGAAGGTGAGGTCTAACCCACCTGGTTTTCCTCTTCCTTCTCCCCCCATCTATGGCAGGAACTTCAAAGGTTTGGAGAGAAGAATAGTCCATCAAACCTCTATCAAACCAGCATATTTGGAAAGTGCCTTTTGAGCATGAAGCTACAGTGACCTCCAGTGGAGCACCAAGGAAGTTGGGTTGCTCACCAACTGGTGCTCCTCAGAAGTCTGCAAGACCAATTTCTGATGGGTAGAAGAAAAGCCAAACAATGCATTTTCTCTACAGCAAGACCTTGTCCTTTTCAAAGACGTTGTGGGTGCCCATCTTCCCACATGTTCCTTCGAAGGAGACAGAGGCTACATACCACCAGCCTTGGCTCGGTGGCCTGTAAAACAACCAAACGAAGCTGCATTGTTTTATTACTCCAAATTTATTAGTGAGTATAGATTAATTCTCTCCTAGGGTCCCTTGCATGCAACAGAGCTCTACGGTGTTACTCCTTGAAGTACAGTAATCCTATGGTTTTACTGTAGGCTAAGGCTTCTTTTTTTGTTTTTTGTTTTTGTCACAGTGTCATTTTTCTTTGAGGCCGTGGACCACAGGAGAGAGGAAAAGAAATCGAGACAAAAAGAGTTACATCAGTTGACATTTATCTCGTAATGAACACATGATACTTACTATTCCTTGGTTTATCATTGCCACAAATCTCTAATACTGCTGATGGCAAAGACTTTGCATTCGTCGTCACTGTTTACATTCAGACATGTTGGCTCAGGAGAATCAAAGACAAACAGAACAATATTAAACATTCTGATATAAAAAAGTTGTATTTAAGCATGGCTTTTCGAGAGTGAAGTTCCAACAAAAGGGTGATATGGAAAGTGGTGGGACGAGAAAAGAGGACCCATTTCCCTGGTTTTTCCCAACTTGCAAAACTCTAGGAACAGTATTTTCAGCGTTAAAAAGGATTGGTCTCTCCAAAACAGAAATGTATCTCATTGAAATAAATATCCCACATTCGTATTGCAAAGATTCTTTCACTTTTTTTCTGGCAGGGATATTGAGAACTCCCAAAAAAGAGTTTGTTTCTTTTTCCATATCACTCACATTCACTCTGAAACCTTTCTACTTCACATACAAACCACGTCTCATCAAAAGTCACATTACACGTGACAATAAGGATACCAATGACAACAGCAGGTTTTGTTTTTCATTTGATAGCAATGGACACTCTCCCACCCCCAAACCTCCCTCCAGCACCCCCTTTTATAACGGCACCCGTCCTCAGTCATTGCAACAACCCGCCCGTGTTGGAACATCCAGCGGAAGCCATCCCACTCGGAAAGAACCTCTTTCCATAGACTCGTTCACATGTGCCTCGTGGCTGAAGGTGGTGGCAGAGACAGACAGAGGGCTACGGACATGCGGAATCACCTTAGAGTAAAGTATTAGAAGTACAGCCCACCCAGAACAAGGACAATGCAAGTTCTCTTTGTGACCAGAAGGTTGAAACAGCCCTGGCGCTTGATCAGCTTCACGGTGGACTTCATCCTGAGTCATGACGAGGGAGTTTGCCAATCACATGGCTGGAAAGATGGTGTCAGTGGTTATTTGCCATAAAAAGAACATCATCATCTTTTGGCAAGGTTTTCAAAGGAGAGAGAGAGATAAACTAAGAAACAAACCAACAGAAGAAGGCAAAGGAACTGGATCCATTGAGTGTCCAGAATAGCCAGTTTTGAGTTCAAACCATGCCCGTTTCCTACAAAATACAACATTTCTCTGGAAGTTTAAGCTTAGGCAGCAGAATGTGGTTTGCTTGAGGAGCAGTCAAGCTTCCCTGTTGAGGAGCAGTCAAGCTTCTCTTTTAGATGTAGAGTGGAGTTTCTTGACCAGTGAGCAGCCTGAACATGGCAGCAGGCATTGTCTTCATGTGAATCTGTTTGGAAGAGAATTAGTGATGATTCTGGGACTGGAGGCTTCAGACTGGATGCCTACAGCCATTCTTCATGGTTGGTGTGGACCTTGGACATGGCCAAGCTAACCATGAAGGTCAAAGCCCATCGATAACCAGAGCACAGATGGAAAAGATGTTTTCCTAAAGCCATGGCCAAGCACAGTATACCTTGTGAAGTTCTATGTTCTCATGAGCTCAAGGCAGGCTACGCAGGGCTGTGCAGGCCACAAAAATGTCAGGGCAACAGCTTATTTCCCCCTGAGAGAGCCAATGCTGAACTTGATGGACAGACATGGACAAAGATGGAAAGACAATTTCCAAGGTGCGGAGATATCACCCCTAAGTAGAGGACAAAGAGCACTCTCAGCCACTTCTTAATGGCATCTTGGAGCTGTGGTGGCCTAGTGGTTAGAATGCAGTATTGCAGGCTAACTCTGCCCACAGCCTGGACTTCGATCCCGATGAGACTCCAGGTTGACTCTGCTTTCCATCCTTCCGAGGTTGGTAAGGATTGTTGGGGGCAATATGTTGACATTTGTAAATCACTCAGAGAGTGCTGTAAAGCGCTATGAAGTCGTATATAAGTCTAAGTTCTATTGCTATCTTCCCAAAGGTGCTTTTTCAGGAGGAAACTGGACTTCTTTGTTTTTCTTAGAAGACGTTTCACTTCTTATCCAAGAAGCTTCTTCAGCTCTGACAGGATAGTGGGGAATGGAAGGAGTGAAGCTCTGACACTATCCAGTCAGAGCTGAAGAAGCTTCTTGGATGAGAAGCGAAATGTCTTCAAAGAAAAACAAGGAGGTCCAGTTGTCTCCTGAAAAAGCACCTTTGGGACAACCAGGACCTGTATGACGGAGAATCTCTGAGATATACTGCTATCCTCCTTCATCCGCTCTGCCATCCTAACTATGGGGCAACTTGTCAAGTTTGGCATGACATCTCCGGCCCCTTTGCCTAGTCTGGAATGTACTAATGGTTCTTTCTTTTGATAAAAAGAAATCAAAAACTCTTTAACATCCTGTTATTGCTGCTAAAAAAAGGCATGCTGGGAAGACTCACCTCTCCCACGGAGTTGGACAAGGCTTGCACAATCTTCTCATGAGCTGTAGCAACGACACTTTGACCGTTGATCTCGATAATGCGATGCCCCACCCGGACCCCGCCTCTCTCGGCAATCCCACCTCGCATCAAGCTGCAGATCTGGACGCAGAAAAGGAGACATGTTCAGTTAAATGGGAAAGGGGCAGTTTGGCCAGAAGGGTTAGAAACAACAGGAAGGTCTTCTTCTTCTTCTTAGCTATCACATTACAGAAATTATGCATTTCTCTTGGTTGGTGGATTCAGTCTTTGACCATCTGCTATTCTTCACCTCCTTCTTTCCAAAGGTGGGCAAAGAGAGGGCAAAAGCTACTCAACATTAAGAAGCTAAGATGACGTCAAACCCAACATCAATGGGAAAAGAAGGTGTTGAAATAGCAATAATTGATCTTAGATTTAAATATTTACAAGGATGGTTCCTGTAGCCATGAAATGGTGCACTGATAATGTTCTCTAGTTGGGTCATGAGACATCTGCAAGCCAACAGTCAAGCTCCACAAACTCTGACGATGCCTCCTTAGCACTGTCTAAAGCAGTGGTTCTCCACCTTTCTAATGCCGTGACCCCATAATACAGTTCCCCATGTTGTGACGACCCCCAAGTGGGTGTGGCCACCAATAAGAGGGAGTAGGACAGCTAGGGAAAAGGGAAAAAAATGGCTGACAGCATGGTTTGGCGACCCCCATGAAATGGTCGTTCGACCCCAAATGGGGTCCCGACCCACAGGTTGAGAACCACTGGTCTAAAGCTCCTGATTGATCTCCCAGGTCCCAGCCCTCCAGTGCCTCTATCCTAATTGAACTGATATCCCAATCAGTCTTCATCGGGTTCGTGCAATAAAGGAGAACGATAGTCAGGGAATTCTCCTAAAGGCCCATGCTCTTCCATGCTTTTAAGTGTGTGCATTCCCCAAAGGAAACACCACACTTCCTGCAAGTGCCAGCTGTAGAACAGAGTAGAAATGGTTGCTATGGGAATAGGTCCCTATGCACACACAATGCGCATACAAATGGGCTTTAATTCCTTTTATTGGATACATCCGGACTCTGGGAAGCACATTCTTTAAAAAAGCCTGTTAGGACGTCAATAGGGTGCAGCAAACAGGCTTGAAAGTTTGAAGCCGATTCCTGGAGAAAGTGGGTGTTTCCCACTGTCTGCTGTCCACTTTTGTTGACCTTTGAGGAGGAGATTTTAGGTTCAAGAAGAGGTTGAAGAAGAGATTGATCAAGAGGGCTAAGAATTTGGATTATCATATACAGATGGACCCATGGAAAATACATGGTCAAAAGGCTTGACTTTTACATTATATTAGGATTTGCATTTTTTTTTTGCATTTTTCTTTTTCCTTTTTCCTTACTTTATATTAGTTGGTATTAGTTTTTATCTTCTTTTTAAAATTCCAATAAAACGCCTATTTTAAAAACTGTTTATAGTAATGCTGCAAGAAATAAAAACGGTTTTGCTTATTTACAAGCCAAATTTCCTATTGAAAAACCAAACAGTTTGGTCTTCATCATCCCTTCCGGGGGACTTCTCCATGCCGGGAGACCTGTGGAAGTTGCATCTTATTGCAAGACGTCGGTTTGGAGGTTGCTGTAGAAGCAACAGCTGGAAAGAGTAAATTGTGGGCTAGATTTCTGCACCAGGAGACAATGCCTATTTTCCTTCATCATGAATATATGTTATAGCCACTAGATGGTACTAAGCGACAATTAAAAAGAGGCCTAGCAGATGATAAAACAATTCTGAAGCCATCTGGTGATTTTATACGGGTGGGCAAAGCTGCATAAGGCTTCCGACACAAACATCTGGACTGGAAGCATCTCCTTTTAAAGGATGAGGAGTCGGGAACCCCACCACCTTGTCCTGAAAAACCAAATATGAGCCTCCATGCCTCCCCCCCCCCCAATATACAGTAAGGCTTCCCAATTTCCTTCAGTTTCTTCAAATTGTAGCTTTCACTAGAAAGTGTCCTTTCACGGTTCCTTTTCAGGAGCCAAGCAGATACCCCTGAGGTGATCAAGAGCCTAAGGACCCTCCCAGAGGTACCTATATCAGGAAGGGGGTGGGTGGGAGAGAAATATGTGTGATGACCTTATGCCTAAGCCATCATGTGCACAATTTCAAGACACCAGGACATAAATACACAATTGTGGCAATCGCAGGATGATATCCCTTGAGTATGGAATCGTTTTGGAGTCAGGATAGTTTGCCATGGACCTTCTTTGATGCTCCCACATGCTTTATTATTTTCCTTTCACGTGTGTGAATGTTACAAATATGATGACCAAATTTGGAATCTCCATCTGTTGTTCCTGATCAGATCAGGGTTGAAAGTCAAATGTTGATTTCTGATTTCTGACCTGTTTAGGATCTAGGTCCAAAACATCACCTGAACCCAACTCTACGCACTGAAAAGAAAGTGGAGAAGGCATCAGGTCTGTATATCATCTGGGTGCTCATTGCAAGTCAGGAGAATGTTTGTAAGGACACCTAGTTTCTGTGGCAGACTAACATGGCTTCTTTTCCAGGATATGCCTGGTTGTCCTCTTCTGTTGAGGAAATGTTGCTTTCCCAGCCCCATTTTCATACCCAGGATTGAAAGAATGAAGAGACTTACAATTCCGTTCTGTACACTGAAACCCAGCTGGTATTTCAGATCCGGGCGCTTGATTAGAACAGTGGTGACCGGAGGGCAACTGACAATGTTCAACTTCACTTGCGTCTGATTCTTAAGACCCTGCAAAATGCACTCAAAGTTAGCAATTTCTCATCAAACAAAGCAAGTTAGGCAAGATGGGTGTCTAGAACGGGCCAGAAGAAGGTTGGGAAAATTATGACCTCACCACATCAATCAAGGCAACCGATATAATTTGCATCTTTTGCAGAATGTCACAATCAGCCTAGTATCTGGGCTACTTTAGATGATGGTTAGGGAATTCTCAACATGTTGTGAGACCTCACCTGGGCACTCAACATAGATTGCAAATTTGGTAAATGGATTGAGACGGGTGTCAGAACCTAGCCAATATGTAAATATGGCAATAGACGGAGTTAATGCTGGAAGTCAAGTAGAGTCATTCCCTCCTCCCAGACGACCAGCTGACACAAATAAGGACAGGTGGGGTACCTTAATGATTCCTTGGCAGGTTGCTAAAGGAAGGCCAACTAAACTGGTCCCATTAATGGACATAATCTGGTCTCCGATGCTGAGCTTTCCTGAACGGGCTGCCGGCCCTCCGTTCATCATGTTAGCCAGGATGACGGTGGGCAAAATGGAACCCCAGCCAGACTCTACCACCACCACACCAAGGATCTCCCCCTTGTGTTTGGCGATCTGCAGCTGGAAGAGAAAAGAGCAGAGAGGATGAATGCGTGTGGAGCCCCTGGAGAAATAGGAGAGGACTTCTTCTCCAAGCCTGTTCTCCAAAAGGGCCATCTCCCTTATGCCTGCGGTGCATAATCTCCAGGTGCCTGTTACAGGGTGTTGCCAGGCACCTTCCCTGCATGCAGAAGAAGTCCAGGCTCAATCAAGGTTGACTCGTTCTTTTCTCAAGGCCTGTCTTGAGGAGGGGACATGGTGATTGGGAGAACTTAATGTGACTTCCTTGGGCTGGGCTCTTTCCAGAAAAATGTTGCATTAAGAGTGGTGACTTCCTTCCTGCCCTTGCTTGGCAAACATTTCACCCGCAATTCATTCTCCTCCTCGTTTTGAATTGTGACTCCTTCAAGGAAAACCTCATTTATTATTGACTTTCTCCAATAATCCAAACAACGGTCCAACATGCACCAGCGCACATGCGTGCTCTCTCCCTCGTCCTGCATCTGGGTAGATTACAATTTATTTACCCTTCCCCCAGTATTGATTTAAAATCCAATTTCCACTTGGCTTGTATATTTTGGCTTCACTTCCCATTCCTTTGGCTGCTTTTCAGTGTCCAAGCACATTGCTTACACACAGCCCGAGCTGTCAGGGATACAGAAATGACTTGCCTCGTGGTTACATCTATGCAGCTAATTTCAAGAGTAGAGTTTTCTCCTCTAAAATGACTTTTCAAGTATTAAATACCTTGGGTCTTCCAAAGCCTTCTTAAAACAGGTAAATGTGATCCATCATCCCTTTGTTTTCCAAAAACAACAGCAAAACACTGACTACCCATTCATCCATCATCTATAACATTTATATGGCTACCCACCTCACAAGAAATGACTCTGGGTGGTGCACAACGATCAAACAAAGAGATACAGAAAAAATATGGCTTCTTTCTACAGGATACTCTAGATTTATGCCACTCAGATGTGACAGTCCTGGTCAACATCTCAGTGAACTTAATTTCACTCTTCTATCCTGAAGGCTTTAAAACGAGATTTGCAAATGACCTCTTGAAACTCTAGCTGAGTTCTCAGCAGTCACCTCATGCATAAGGCAAGGAGCTTCAAATGATAAAAATTTCCCCCCACCATCCCAAAATAACCCAGTTCAGAAAAAAAGGAATCACCTCTTTACAGTTATCCGAGTTGGAGAAGTGAATCAAATCATCATTATACATTTCCTGGGTGTTGATGATGTCACTGTACTCTTTCTGACTGAGATCTTCGGGGTTGATGCCGTTGGCCCGAAGAAATTCCTGATAGGCCACGCTGAACGCTTGTCCAATCGACTGAGCTATCAGCTGAGCCTTCATGAGAAGGAGAAGAAGGAAAGAGGTCAGCATCTTTGGGGAGCAACAGCATCCTTGTTGGCCATCTGAAGGGACTGACCCATCCTATTCTGGAAACAATGTTTTTATTCCACTGCAGAAGTGGAAACTGCTTGGATGAAAACTAGTACGAAAAACCACTGAACTAAGCAAAACTTTGCAGGACTGAGAACAGAGAGGTCATCACAATTATTCAGGGTAGGGAGGTGAGACAAGACGAATAAACTCAAATTGTTCAGCTTCAGTCACCTCCCTTAAGTAGAGATCGCCTTAGTTTTTGGTCCTTCGCCACCAAAGCAACTTGGGAGAAAATGAACTTCTCTGTTTTTAAGATTTTGAAGCTCTCCTTCAACAAATATTCTCCAGTAGCCCAGGAGTCCAGGAGACAACAGGACTAATAAAAGAGGAACCACTTTCTCTCATAATGCATAATTGGATTTGGAAATGGTCTGTCTTCACATGTGGCATCAACTGTAAGATCAGATGCTTTTCTAAGACCATTAGGCTCATTTGTGGAGTATCAGATTATCAGAGGCAATGAGCTCTAATGGCTCTTGCAATAACCTAATTGATTAGACAATAAAAGACAATATACAATTCCACAATGTTATATGATCTCTTACTCCAGATTCCTACTCTACTCTGCTATTCTCTGAAGTGTGGTGGATTTCAGTTCCCATGCTGTCAAGAGGTATCCCCTACGAAGGCTTCTATCCTGGTTAGAATTATGGGAATTGGAGTCCAGAATATCAAAAAGTAGGAGGCCAATAAACCTGGAGGAGGGCTGAAATTTATGGGGAATTGGAGACCTAAACATCTAGAGAACTTTTGATTTGATCCAGTGGAGTTCTTTCTGATGCTCGCTTCCTTTCCCTTTATTCAGATTTTTAAAACCCCAAGCTCTAGGTCCCCGTTTTTCAAGCTGGCTGGGGAATTCTGGAAATTGAAGTCCACATTTCTTAAAGCTGCCAAGGTGGAAAAACATTGTTCTAGGTGAACCACTGGAATGTTTTGAGTAGGAGAGAAGGATAATTCCTGGTTTTCCACATCTGGGTTCAACTCTGCCTCGGCCAAAGCCTGAGACATGGACTTCTTTCAAAGAAAGGGAGGTCCTAATTTTTGTAAGGTTGTATCTTGTATGGAATTCCCGTACAGTCAATTCAGATAGGAAAAATAGGCAAGTCTTGGCCACTAGGTGTCACTACAACAGAGACAGTACAAGTGTCAGTCATGGAACATAACGGACTTCTAATTAAAAAAGCACCTGTAAGAAGAACTGGAATTAAATGCTCACTGAAGCCATTTAATATTACTTTTCATTCTGGTTACTATTTTGGAACCAAATCATAAGTTTTAAAATTCGGATTCCTATTCTACAATCGTATGATTTTACTTTTTAATACTTTAGTTCTTCTGCCACTCTTCCTCGCCACCATAAAATATGGTGACTGAGGACCTGCCACACATAGTGATGTGCATGGAGCTGTAAAAGGACTGCTCAGTTTAATAACAGTTGCTGCCCTTATTATATTATTATTCTTGTTATCCTTGGGTGATGACATTGTTGGGTGGGTGGCAGTTTTACTTTCAAGAGCAGGCATCAGAATATCATTTTTATATATCCTGTTTGGTATACAGAAAAATGTCAATGAGCGTTATCTTCTTATCCTCTATCTTATCTCTTCTGATCTTATCCTATATCTTATCTTATATTTCATTCTATCCTATCCTATCCTCTTATATCTTATATCTTAACCATCCCTGGGAGCCTGAATTTAAAAGAACAGAGAGGATTTGTGCAAGAATCACCAAGGGTCAAGTCAACACTAAAGAGGTCCTATGCCGTTCACTCACATCCTCGGATTCGAAGACATGGCAGATCATCTTGTACTGTTTCTTTCCTTCTTGCACCCCGGGGGTCGTCTCGATGCAATCCTGGGATGCTGACCGAGGCATCCGACGGCGGGCCATCAGGACCACAATGTTGCCGATATCAGCAATGTAGGAGATGGTGCGCAGTGCGTGGTCCATCATGGTTTCCTAGAAGAAGAGAACGAAAAAAACAAAGAGCAGGTCCCTTGTCACTTGAGAAAGGCTGCATTTATCCCCAGTTAATGCAAATTAAGAGAGGAAAAATACAGTACAAATAGTCCTTGACTTATGACGGTAAAGGATCTTGGAATTTCCATCTTAACTCATGATGGTCATAAGTCAAGGCAACCAAGGGATTGGACCGGTAAATTGTTCTTAATTAAATACTTGTCTTTGAATGCAACTTCACTGTTTGGGTGAACAACTCAACTCCTTGCCTTGCATTTCAGATGGCATCCTAGGAGAATTGCCAGTCACCACACCTGGATGAAAAAGGAGGGCATCCAGACTGCAACTCTTAGTGAGGATAGACTGAAACTGGCCAGGATCAATGACAGACGGCATTGATATTCTCGCGTTGTTCGACTTTTGTTCTTCCACTCTTCCCGGGAGACTGCTCTAAGCATCAAAGTCAACAGAGGCCTGCAGAGGCAACTCCTGATTCGCCATGGCAGGAAGCAAATTAATTTGTTCAGAGCCCTCTTGGCACCTCCAGTCTTGCTTTTAGCTACGGCGGATCAGACACAAAGTGGGCCATTGCTGTTTCTGCACTTACACTGGCTTTCATTATTTACATGCAGCAGTGAAATGCAGCTATGAAATTCATTTGCTACATCAGCTAGCTTGCTCCATTATGGCTTGCCGTTTTATTAAATGCCAGGAAAAAATCCAAGGCTGCATGGTGGTCACAATCAGACCTTTTCATAATGACCAGAACAGCTGCCTGGCTGGAAAAACCTACAAGCCAGAAAGTAGAGTGAGATGCTTGAACAGAGAGTCACTTTTCCAGGCCTGGGAGGATAGCAAAGGCAATCCTTGTTTAGCAACTGCCTCAAACAGCGACTGCAGTCATGATGGGGATGAAAAGTAATTTTGAAGCTAATTCTTGCATTTACAACCTTTATGGGTCTGTAAAGTGAAAGGAAGCTGAATTTGGATCATAAGCACCATTCAGTTTCACTTTACGACTCTTTTGCTTAACTACTGAGTGGTAGTCCCAATTGTGGTTGCTAAACAAGGACTACCTGTATACATTTGTGTTGCAAAATCTCTGTTTTGGCTTGTGGGATTGTGATTGAGGAAGAGATGTAAAATATATGGAAGAAAACCGAAAATCTAGTGGCTGAGGGATCCACTCTCATGGTTACAGGACATTGTAGTGGTTTGGAATGCGTGTTCAAGATCCTTTCTAAAATAAAATGCAAGGTATCTTCTCTTGCTCAAAACCTCAGATCAGCACATTTTTCCAGCCTTTCTACATCTAATTTCAACTCTCAGAATTCTTAAGGGAAGAGAGACCACACTAGATGGAGAATTCCTCAGATGAAGACCCAAACTTCATGTGGGCAGCTGTCCTAAAGCCAATATGCCTTTTGACAAAGTCACAGCTGAGGCTGGGCAGAGAGATGGTCTCCTCTAGCTTATCTCTCCTCCACTTTTCCTCTCCAACCAACAGGATGGCAGAAGAAAAAGAGTTAGCTCTTCTAGGACATCTGAATGGGACACTTGTAGAAATGTTGAGAGGTTAGACTTTGGCCTGTCGAAATTATTTCATGGCCCTATAATTAATGCTGCAATGATGGGGCTGTAGGCTTACCTGGGTGTCTGCATTAAGAACTTTAATTCTCTGGGTGGAGATAAACAGGTCCACCTCTGTCAAAGCATGTACATCCCCTTCAGAAGTCTAAAAAAAGACAGAGAGTAGTAAATTCGCTTAAAGAATGTTCTTGAAATGGCAGACTCCTCACAGACTTACTTTGGATATGATGCAACATACAACAGGCACACTGAGTGATTTACTACGACATAGAACAGCTATTTGGAATGGCTAATTTTCAAAAGACACATGCAAAGCTTCAACTGTACAAATTAACTTTCAAGTTTTGGAGTCCCGCCTTCACCAAAGATGGGGAACGAGGCAAGAGAGCTTCTAAATCTGAAGTTCTGCAACAATAGTAATGATCTCCAGCCGAATGATTATATTAATCGGATGAGGCTGAAACCCAGAAAACTTTTTAAAGATCAAGCGGTGACTTAGATGGACTTTAATCCACAGAGGTTTAGGGCAATAACCAAACTTAGAATCTTTAAGAGTCGCACATATTTTGGGTATTTTTCCTTTTTTAGACCATCAATGGGCAGATATGGGACTTGTTGGATCTACTGTGATTTATTTTTGTCTTTATTAAAAACCCAAAGTTGATGTATGATGCATAAAGTAGGAGTTTAGCATTAAGGATCAAGCTCCATTCAGCATTTTGTTTTTCAGCAGCCACTTCACTCAAAAATCTGTTCTTGGTTTTTTTCCTCCCAAACTTCCATCAACCTAATCTTCAGAAGCAAGGCAAGTTGACCTTAAGGAAAGAAAAGCTGGCTGGCAGACCAATAGACCCCATTGTGAAAATGAAAATAAATCATGACTGTTCTCTGAGCCATTGCTTCTGCTGAGGGAATCAACAGAAAGAAATTTTTGCCAAAGAAAAATATTATGTTTTCTGAAGCATAACAAAAAATTAAAAAGGAAAGGAGAGAGAAAATGTCCAAGTAGCACAGAGAGAAGGAGAGAAATGGAACGTTCTCCAATGAAACCAGCTGGCCTGCGTCCCTCCAACCAGACAGGTATATTTTAAGAATGTTCATACAAACAGAAACACAAAGATTCATATTACAGTTTCATGAACTTCCACATGGAGAAGCACAACAGGATGCACAAGGACAATTGAAGAAGGTGGGGTGAAAAAGCCAAAAGCAACCCAAAAATGTGAAACAGACATTAGAATTCAAGAAAAACAGTCTACACACCGTTTTTTTCTTGATTTTAGCTGCCTTTTGCATCCTCTTGGGGAGAACGAGAAGCATTAAAAATAAATAAATTGATATGTAAATCAAAGGGAAACAGACAAATGCATAAAAAGAGTGGGGGTGGGGAGAGGGAAAACCATCTTAGGACGTTAGCAAAATATTTTAGAAATCCCTCCTTTCAGGGATCCCAAAAGCGCCAAGCGGGAATTTGAGGGAAGGGTATCCTGGAGGAAGGGGTCTCAGGCAGCATTTTGAGAAGGAAGGAGAGCATTTCAGAGGCAGGCGAAACCCGCCACTCTTTTGTCTTCTTCTCAAACATCAGCTGATCTTCCTATTTCCCTAGAAGTTTTTTGCTCGCTCTTGATAAGCCAGAATTGCAGGCTTTTTAGGACAGGGATCTCCAAACTTGGCAGCTTTAAGACTGTGGACTTCGATTCCCAGAATTCCCCAGACAGAATCCCTGAACCTGGTCTTGATGGTGACTTCAAAGCCCCTGGAAAGCCCTTGTGCAGGTTGGCTCTCTGCAGCAAGGGGATCACTACACTCAACGAGGAGGAGCGGCGCCCCTAAGCCTTGAAAGCCCATCCCTCAAAGGGGGTTGGTCCTTCCCATCCTACCTTGACACGGCTCACTGCCTCTTGGGCTTGCATCATCCGGATGTTTTTGGACGGATTGCGTTCGGAGAGCAGCTGGGTAGAGCCCAGGTAATTGGCTGCAAAGATGATGCCATCAATGAGGTCCTCAGGCTCGCAAGGCCCTGGAACTAAAAGAGAGAAGAGGCAATGAGGTCTGCAGTTCTTGCTTATTCCCACTAAATGTGGCTATAAGATTCCAAGCCTCAGTTAAGCAAAGGTCCTTGAGATAATCATAAAATGGAGAACGTGCAATGCTGGGATGGCTTGAAACTTGATTTTTTTTTTAAAAAAAATTGTTTTTGCACACTAACAGAGCTTCCCATCTCCCAATCTAAGACCATTAGAAGGTGAGGAAATTTCCTTCCTTTAACAATGCAACAGCAGAGACAGGGACGCGTGCTGCCGCAGCAGCCGAACACTGTTCTCCTAAGGAGAAAAATAAAATAAAATCACAGGGGAGAGATGTGGTAAATCAAGAGACAGATTCTAGCTGGCTCTCCAAATAGGTTCATGAAAATACATATTTTCCCCTCTCTTAAACTCACAACAAAACCAGGGTTTGTTCCTAGGCGAGGCACATGTTATTCCCCCAAGGAAAAATAACAGCTAGAGAAATTCCCCAGTTGCTTAGCTGGTTATTGTTCCTGTTAATTTAAGCATGTCAAGATTAGAAAAGAGGAATAGCATTCACGTCCATTGATTAGGGCTTACTGAGTATCAGCTGGCACCGACCGTCTCAAAACCAGCAGAATTGGACAGCTGAGAGGCCAACGTAAATCAGAAGACAGTAGCCAAGAGGCATCATCAAGAATCAAACTACGGTCTCGCAGAAAAAAGGAGAGCCAGACCAAGCTAGGGCTGATACTATCCAAAAGATCAGTTGCTAAGGGGGTTGGTAGGGCTCATCCCAGGCTTGAGGACACTTTATTTGCTGGTTGATTGGTTGCATTTATAGATGTCGAATCCTGGAGCACATAGCAGAGTGCAGGAGTGGTGAAGAAGCTCCAAGTCATATTTTTTCTCATTTAAGAATCTTTCTAGGCCACCCTCCTGCTGAGTTAGAGCAGAAAACTTAAATGGATGACATATTTCAGTCTGGGGCTAAAATGAGATCCAAGTAGAAGCTAAACCAAGCTGTTTGGGGGAGAGAAAAAAACAGTTCACGCTTAAGATGGCAGCCCCCTTAGATGTCCTTGTGGACCCAAAGTCACCAGCTCCCTTTTCATTTGATGGAGGCAATCAAAGATCTCTGAAGATCTCACGTTCCAGAGGTAGATGCAAAGAGAAGCAAGCCTTCCCAGAAGACTTGGAAAATCAAAACTATTCTTCCCGCTCTCCCCCCAACAATGGGAACTGATGAAGCAAAAAACGTGGAATGTTTTCCAACTATTTGAGGGGTCTTGGAAGCTCTTGGTTCTCAATTGGTTGGCAGACCTGCCCTCTTTCTGCAAACCATGGAAGATCAAGGGGGAAAAGTCCTAGAAGACATGTCTGGTTGTCCCAAAGGTGCTTTTTTTTCAGGAGACAACTGGACTTCCTTGTGTTTCTTTTGAAGACGTTTCGCTTCTCATCCAAGAAGCTTCTTCAGCTCTGACTAGATCCTTCTATCTAGATCCCACCATCCAATCAGAGCTGAAGAAGCTTCTTGGATGAGAAGCGAAACGTCTTCAAAAGAAACACAAGAAAGTCCAGTTGCCTCCTGAAAAAAGGACCTTTGGTTCTAGAAGACATTTACTGATTCTGGCCAAACTGTGTTCCAGGATCAGTGGAGTTCTTCATCTAAAGATCTCCACCACAATGGAAACAGGTGGCTCCAGCAAGAGCTTCTACGCATCTTTATGCAAAGAATCCAGGACCTTTTCAACCAGTGTTGCAATCCTCCATGTTTCTACCCAGGTATAAGCCTGTCTTATTCCTTCCAATCCAGGCAGCCCTTTCCTCAATTATGCCCATTTATCTTCTTGGGGGGGGGGGGAAATGAGAGCTTTCCTTCAGCCAATTTTAACAATAGATATAAATTCTCTAGCGTTGCAAATGAGACATGGGTGAAGTGAAACATGCTACACTCCAGGAGATTCCCAGCAAAGATCAATCATAGAGATAAATTTAAATTTCATTAGGCCACATGCCTGCGCTGGTTATTAAAGTAATATTTAAGCACCCTGGCTGCGGAGGGATACTGAACGCTGCTCTGAACCCCCTCGTAGTGGGAGGCTTCTGAAAAAGCCAGTTTATTTGATCTACAGTTACATGAAGGGCTAGTTTTTCGGAATGGAAGGAAAGAATTCCAGTTACAGAATTGCTGCTCTTGAGAACTTTCTAAATTCGAAGATAATCTCTTTAGCTTATGGTTGAACTGTGGAATACTTCGTGCTTTCTGAATTGGGTTGTTTACTTGTAGACGTCTCATGACCCAACTAGGGAACATCATCAGTCCTTGCACTGTACTTGGGTTTGTTTGAATTTCCTCCCTATATTTTTAGAGCTATATTTTTTTAGAGTAATTAATAAACATTGCAAGCAGAAGGGTACTTACCATCAACAAAGCTTGGGAAAGACGGTACTTTCTTGCTCTGTATGGGAATAAAAATAAAGAGCGATTGATCACTTTGAATGTTAATGCCATGCCAGGCGAGGAACCTGCTTTTGTTTGTTTGTTTGTTTGTTTATTTGTTAGTTATTAAATTAATTTGCCCCACATTTTACCACAGGTTAACTCTGGGCGGCTTACAATGTTAAAAAGGATAAAGCTATACAAAGTCTGTATATAACACAGGTGATGAAAAGCACCTGGATCGCGTCTAGTTTTTCAATCGGTTTGCATTGTATATAATTATAACACAAGATCTTTTAGGACAGCAGAGAAAACTGGTCCTTCAGATGTATTCAGTGACAGGGGATTCTCCTAGCTGTGGTCCATCTGACAGATGCCACAGTCCTTCAAGGGAGTCCATTCTCCCTGCCTTTGCAAAGACAACTGCATGGCCAGGGAGGTCTCCCCCTTCAGATCTTGCAACTGTATTGACTTCAGCCATGATTGCTTCTCCAGGCTCTTCACAATTCAGCTCAAAACATTTCTGATAACTTTTTCCTGAGCGAAAACCCCTTCCATAGAAAATCCCCAACCTCCTATCGGTGCGCTGAGGGTTTATTATGTTATCAATGAGGCTGCCCTTGACCCATGACCTGGAAGTGAATCCCACCTGATTTACAATGCTTTTTACTATGGTGGCTTAAGCAAATCACTGCCCCTGCTAAGTGAATCATGCCATCGTTAATCAAAGCTGAGAAAGTCCCCCATTAGTTTTTGGGTGTCGGAAGCCAGCTGGGAAAGTCGCAAATGATGATCACATGACCCCAGGACACTGCAACCATTGTACATACGTGTCGGTTGCCAAGAGTCAAAATTTTGTTCACGTGACCATGGGGATGCTGTGACAGTCATAAGTGTGAGGACCAGGTGCAAGTCACATTCTTTTCGGTGCCAGCATAACTTTGAATGTTCACTAAACAGATGATTGTAAATTGAGGATTACCTGCACTGATATTCTTAACATAACTGGCCAGGCCTAATTTTGGGTACGTAGCTGTTGGTATCAGCATCGGTGTGATTTTAATAGGGTCTTTGCTCATTATGCTTATGGTTTGATCAATTTACTTCCCACTGGCCCCCATGAATGGTACGTCCTATATCTACACACACAAACATTGTACAGGGGGGGGCCAACACTTTTCTGCAGCTTCAGAACAACATAAAACAGAGAGGAGGAAAAGAAGAACTCTGCTCAGATCCCAGGACTTGCCTCCAGCATATTATTGTTGTCAATCGGTCCATTGAGATCAGAGCGCTGCTGCTTCCTTGGTTGTTCTAAGCCGTTGCATACCTACACAGCAAAGGGAAGTGAGAGAGACACACCATGGCGATCAGTAACGTAGGAGGAAGAGAATCAATGCTAACGGCATTTATCACTGCCTCTCGTCCATGAGTCTTATTGCTCCTGTTGTGGAAATAAGAACGGATTTATGCATTGACTGGTTGGGCAGCACAAGAAAGATTGAAGTTTCCTTCAAGCGCCTGGATAGACGCTCGTTTCCATTAGTCCTGAATACCATATTTCCCCATGGATTTGTAGAATGGATGCTGGAGCCATTCACGGAGTGACCGAGCCCACCATCTCTTTGGGAAGGAGAAAATTAGGGTGTGGGTCCCCCCAGTGTCAAGGAGAGATACACCATGGAGTTACTTTTGCTTAGTAAGGCACATCATCCACGGAAGACTTTCCCATCAAAACCGTCCAACTCTCTATTAAGGAGAGGAGTTATTTCCTGTTGTGTGAAGGAGGATTTTCAGCCATAGTTGTATGAACATGTCTAGCGGTGCCCCAGAACAATTGTCCTCTCTGGTGGACGACAGGTAATCAGCAACTTACAACTGCAATTGGGACCAGAACTTCCATCCCTGTTGTTAAGTGAGCCATGCCTGATTTATAACTCCCCCCCAGTCATGAAACGAATCCAGCTACCCCCATTGACATTGCTTGTTGGAAGTCCTTGGAAGTTTGCAAATGGTGACTGCAGAATCATGTCATAAATGCATCATCATACATTTTGATCGTGAGAATGCATCGGTCATGAAGTGCAAGGACCAGTCATAAGTTGGCATTGTTTTCAGCACTGTTGTAACTTTGGTCACTAAAGGAATGGTCATAAGTCAAGGACTGCTTGGAGAGATAACAATGGGGCCCCAACCTCTGGCAGGCTTCAGGTAGAACCCAATCAACTGCTTGCTCTGTCCAGGGTCCTGAAATCTCCCTGGCCTTCCTTTGAGCACTGCAGAGGCCCCCTCAGCACAAAACTGATGGGGTAGACCTCCCCAGTGAGGCTCCATTCCTGAGAACTATGTTCAAACAGCAGCCTTCTCACCCAAGGGGGGAGGGGTAAATTTATGCAGAGCATCTAGGTCTTTAAAAGATTTGCATTAATTGAAAGCGCTGGAGGAGCATGGCGCTTTTCACCACGGCAGAGAGGCGAAATCCTGACACACTTTTTGCAGTTCCTTCATAATGTTTATCCTCACTTGGATAAAAAAAAAAAAAATCTAAACCCCCTGCTCGGTTGTAAGTGCAACATGTACCAGCATGCACAGAAAATTCCCAGTGCAACAGAGGTCATATGTAAAAGACGTCTGCAGCACTGCCTGGCAACCGCAAATTATTTCTGGAGCAGGCAGCATTAGATCAAAAAGACAGGGTGACTGCAGAAGAAGGGAATTATTTACAGGATGTAATGTCAGCAGATATATTGGTCTTGGGGTGCCCAACAACAAAGTTTCTCCTCTTCTTTACTAGCCATGTCAGGTTTGGTTATAATTCAGATTGGTGCTGCAAAATGTGCATTTACAGACCAAATTTAGAAACTGGATTAGATTGAGTTCTACAGTATTTGAGTCCATTTCCCCCAGCTGTAATTTTACAACCTGCAGATCCATTGATCGCAGAAGTCCTTTCCCCATAATCTGGAGCATTAACAGATGACTTTGAGATAACTCTGGCATTAACTGGGTTCAACTTAATGTGTTGCATAAGCCCAGCCATTTATGGTTTATTCAATAAACTGTGGTTCAATAAATAATGGCTTCACCTAATCTGTGAGCCAAGCCACTGATGTCCCATCACAGCTTTCTTCAAAACATATAAGACAGACAAAGAAAGAACAAATGCATCATATCAGCTGCTGCCAAATTTATTATATTATAATTATAATTAATTAATGGATATATAACTTAAGGCAACAAATGTACCCAATTCTCCGTTCTACCCATGGGAAACTCAACATGTCATATAATTATTGTAAAACCAAGGCTGATTAATATGTACAATTTCAAACCAAGTTCTTCTCTCTTTGCTTTTAAAAAATAGGGCAATTTTTCCCTTGCTCCCCATCCCTGTTTTCTTTGCATATGAAATGCCATCAATTGATTATTTGCTATTTCAACAAACTACGGTATTATGCATTCAGGCTGTTAAATCCCTTGGGACAGACCCCAATGCTCTATTTGGAAACTGGGCAACATGTTCCATTTTCTGAAATGGATTAATTTCTTTGTAGAGCTATTTTAGAGATGGTGAGACTTTCTGGAGCAAAACATGTATTCATAGCAGGGTGGTCTATATATCAAAGTAATTGCTGGTAATTCCTCCCCAGACAGCACATTGCACAGTAATGTGGAAGAGGAGGAGGAGAAGGAGGAGGAGGAGCAGGAGGAGGTCATTTTACCTCCTTGAAATTCACCATAGAATTCACCTGGATTCAACATTCTGGGGAATAAACCTTCTTACTGCAGATGAAGTTATGGGAAGTCACTAAAGAAGGCTGTGTGTTTTTTCCCCCAGCACAGCAGTCCACACACCTTCTCCCTCCCCTTTATTCCTTCTTGCAGTCTATCAATTCTTCCACTTCCCAGGAATTCGTGATGAATCACAATGGTGTACAGAGTGGAAATTTTGCCTCTGCTGAGCCGAGTTTCAAGTGCAAGCAAAAGACATCCAAATGCAATTACAGCTTCAATAATCATTAGGGAAATTCAGCCCGGCTTCCCATGGATAAATAAAATGAGAATTTGAGGGCGAGATTTTTAATCCGGCCCACCTCAGCTCGGCTCGGCTGGAATACAGACATCTTCCATGGGAGCCAGAGCTATTCAACTCAATAAGTCTCCCTTCCAAGTAAATGCTTCAAAACTGCACTCCTAATAAACTGACTACAGATGTTCTCCAACAGCTGCACATGCAAAAGGTGATGGCACAAATTCTGAGCATCCTTTTTTTTTCTAATGGGGGAAGGGGGGGGAAGCCGTCTCCCATTTTTCTGAAAAACATTCAGAAGGCATTCCCTTACAAGGGAGACTAACCTGCCCATCCACAAGGCTGAGCTGCCCTGTTTCAGCCAACAGGAGAAAGCCTTTCTCATATATATGTAGCCCTCACCTTACAGCCATTCCTTTAGCGACCGTTTGAAGTTACAGTGGCACGGGGAAAATGTGATTTATGGCTGGTCCTCACATTTAGAAGCAGGGCAGCATTTCCCATAGTCTGCTGATCAAAATTTAAGTGCTTGGCCACCAGCACCTATTTATGATGGCTGCCGCATCCTGGGGTTATGGGATCACCATTTGTGACTTTCCCAGACAGTTTCCAATAAGCAAGATTGGGGGGGGGGGAGCTGGATTTGCTTAACAACTACCTTGTTCACTTAACAACGTGATAAAGATAATTGTAAAAGTGGGGGTGATTCACTGAAAAACTGCCTCGCTTAGCAACAGAAATCCTGGTCCCGTTATTAAAGTTCTTATTTAAATTTATTTTCCCCACATTGCTCAAAAACTTTAATAACAGGATCTACAACAAGGTGATTAAGATGGTTAATTAGAAAAGAAGCTTCCTATGGATGTGGTTGTTGCTTGTAGACATACTAGAAAAATGTTTCTATTCAATTGTTATCTACTAAAATACAAAGAAATGTACTAATTTAAGGTTGATAAAAGAGAATATTATTGGAAGAAGACAAACTCAAGGAAAGCTACTATGTGGAGTATGGAATTATAGAAACTAATTGTGATTGTTTGTAAACATAAACCCGGACAACACGCTGTTTAGCAAATATTAATGGTGATCATGTTAAAAAAATAATAATAAAATACATTTTAAAAAAAAGAAATCCTGGTCCCGATTGAGGTCGTAAGTTGACGACCATCTATACTTGCCAACCTTTCTATGCTTTATATATATAAAAAGAAGAACCTCAAAGGGAGCATTTGTGAGCTCTGTAAGGGCAGCCTGCCGATTGATTATAACGTTTATATTCCCCAGAGAGCCAGAAGGTTCACAGCAGTTAAAGTGTAGATTAACTTCTCCCTCCCTCTCTCTCCCTCTCTCCCTCCCTCTCTCTCCCTCTCTCCCTCTCTCCCTCCCTCTCTCTCCCTGTCTCTCTCTCCCTCCCTCCCTCTCCCTCCCTCCCTCTCCCTCTCTCCCTCTCCCTCCCTCTCTCTCCCACCCTCTCCCTCCCTGTCTCTCTCTCTCCCTCCCTCCCTCTCTCTCTCTCTCTTTCTCCCTCTCTCTCTGTTTTCCAAAAGGACGTCTTTCATAACACAAGAAGAGAAGGACACTCCACGGAGGCAACTTATGGCGGCAATTCAGCCTCAAATTTCCACTGCTAAGCAAGGCAGTTGTTAGGCGGGTTTTGCCCCAGTTTATGCCCTTTTTTTTTTGCCGCTGTGGCTAAGCAAATCAATGCAGCTGTTCAGTGAATTGTGCAGTCATTAAGTGAATCTGGCTTTCCCCCACTGGCTTCGCTCGTCAGAAGCCAGCCGGGAAGGTTACAAATGGGGATCAATGATATCCAGAACAAGGCAACTTCACAACAATGTGCCAGTTGCCAAGTGCTCAAATTGTGGGAATGCTGCAAAGATCATAAACCATCCTTCTCAGTGCCGTTGCAACTCCGAACGGTCACTAAACAAATGCTTGTAAGTCAAGGGCCGCCTGCATTGTTTTACCAGATGAGCTGAACCCCTCGGCAAAGGAGGAGAACCCCTGACTCACCTGTTCTTGTGGCCAGGTCTGCCGGTCCTCTGGAGTCTTGGACTTGGTTTTGAAGCCCCTTGGGGCCTCTCCGAGCTGCTTGGAGGCTGGGGGGATGTTCAGGGACTTGGGCCGCCCCAGATGCCGACCGGCCGTGTGGCCAGGCTCCCCCTTGGGACACGTCTCTGCATAGTCATTTGGCACGTTTTCAGTCCCGTCGTGCTGGGGGCTCATTTCCGAGGCGCTGTTGATGCTGTTCATGCTCATGCTCATCTTGATCTCCGCCACGATCTGGTCGATGTCCTCTTCCTGCTCTTCCAAATCCCCCCCCTCTTCGTTCCTGCCGTGGTAAGGGGACATCCGGCGGGAGTTGCCATTGGCTTCCGGCGAGTAGTAGCCCCCTTCACTGGGATGGCAATACTGGATGCTCTCGTCTTGGTCCTGGATTTCAAGACAGGCCACCTCACTTTCCAAAATCTGGATGCAGCCTGCATGGTAGCCCACCGCTTCGGCCACGTTGTCCTGGTGCTGGATTTTGGTCTCCACCCATTCACCTTCCTCAATAGCTTCGTGGCACTCGTCCGTCTCGACATGATGCTCTTCTTGGGGGATGTATTCTTCCCCGTTGCAGTCCATTCCTTCCAGGTAACTGTCATCCTCCGGACAGTATCGAATATAGTAGGTGATTCCTTCCTCTTCCTCCGGAAGTCCTTCATCGTAATCCTCCTCTTCCGAAGTATTGTTGACATAATCTGAACTAGAGTCCCCATCTGCACTGTTATCAATATGCTCGGGGTCAACTGGGGGAAGGCTACCTTGACCAAGTGATACCGCGTCCATCACCTTCTCCACATAGTCTTCCCCAGACAAAGTATTGTTGGCCTGTTCAGCTGCTTGGCCGTGGGGAGAAGAAGGACAGGCTCTTGTCCGGTGATCCAGCATGGCCACCGTGGTGCTTTGGCATTTCCTGTTTGCCATGGTGGTGGACATCTTAAAGGGCAGTCATTTCTCTGCACTGCCTGTGGGAAAGAGTGAAACAAAAATAAGAATTACCTGAAGAACGAGAGCAACAGTGCTAAAATGAAGAGTTTCAATTTATCCAGGGTGGATAATGGGGTGGAGGAGAGTCATCACTAGGTTTCATGATCTATTCCAACAAGAAGAACAGGTGAGAATGTCACTCATTTGTAGGACGATCCATCTTTGCTATAGTGAGACATGTTGGGAAGGAATCCAAGCAATAAGGAGGAGAATAATTATACACTGAAATGGCTTAACCTGAAAGAAATTATATACATCTAGGATCCCCCAAAGCCTTGAGTGAAGTTTCTACTCTCCTCAAAGCCTTTATTTGGATGTTTATGAGGTTTCATCAATGCGATAAGTTAAAACAGGGAAGACTCTTCCACACAAAATGGCCTGCCCTCATAATGAACCTTCTTCTTTGCAGAGCTAGACAATTTTGGAGTAATCCTCTAAGATGTTCAGCCAGTTTGATTTTTCTGGTCTCCAGATCTTTGTGTGAAATTAGTCTGAGACAAGTTCCACTAGCAAAGGTTAGTCTGGTTAGGTCTTTCTGGTTGAGATGGCCCACAAAACATCTGGAGAAGATGGATTTGGGAACGTTTAACTCCAAATGCCCACCAAGGAAATTGAGGAGCTCCTACTCAACACACCAAATAAAGAAAAAGAAACGGCCGTAGCTGAAAAATTAGTCATGCTCTTCCCCCAGAAAATATGAAGCACGTCTCAAAACTATGGAGCCTGGAGGGACACCATTCTACATTTTCAAGGAGAACATCATGAGGGATCTCTTGAGTAGAGAAAATGTGACTTTCTGTTGCATCTTGTCGCACTCACCATATGTCTCCATAAAATTAATACACACTCTGCTCATGCATTAGAAAGGAGTGAAGATCATAAGGAAGGTGGCAAAACAATTATGACCAGAGGGAATAGCATCCTCGTAAGCTTAGGTAAGGTAGCACATTCAATTAAGGTTTCCAAAATCTCACTGATGGGGAATCAGCCCCAGTGAGCTTGGTGCAGAATCTTCATATTAAATCAAGCGGGACCATTTAAGGCAATATTGATTTATCACCATAAATGTGATTAAAAAGGAAAATAAACTGAGATTCTTAACAGCAAATACTAATGAGACTCCTAGTTATTCTCACTGATAATGGCTTGCAAAGCTACCAGACCCTTTAATCTTCTTCAAGTTGACAACTCTTTAAACTTCACTTTCATTTAGCCCAAGAAGCTTTTTTTTAAAAAAAATCAGCAAGGGGAAGGTAACACTCTCAATGAGGCCTGGAAACTTAGTAGAAGCAAGAAAAACTAACAAAGAAAGAGAATTAAAGACTTCTTATTTCATTTGAAGAGATGATTCAGAAGTGTCTACCAATAAACACACTGCTATTATTCCATTATTTGGATAATATCATGACTATTGTGATCCTATGTTTGTTTATTTATTTAGAAAATATATACACCCACACATCTTAAATAGGTAGCTCTGGATGGCAGACAATCCATAGAAAGAATGAAAAATATAACCCATTAAAATAATTCAATGGAATCAAAAATAATAATTGAGGCTCTTCATAAAAGTGAACATTGATAAACTGGGTTTCCTTAAATCCTGGCCTAACATTTGGGGAAAAGAGCATGAATGCACCAAAATCTATTTGGCATTTGTTGGTGATATATATGCAAAGGAGTCTCTCCAGATCAATGCTGCGGGATAGAATCACATCGCCAGAAGAAACAGAGGCAAAAGCATCCTTCTTTAGTAAGATTTGGCATCATTATTCCAAAACAAAGGAAGCTTTTCTTCTTAGTGCACCATGTCCAGTGCGAGAGGGGCAGTGAGGCTCTAATTAATTTCCCCTCCCCCACCCTCAAGAAATGATAATTTGCTCAGCAATTAAAACCAGCGATGGCAAGTCATATTGATTAGTTATACCCGAAGCACGCATCCAAGAGACCAACGGAAATCAATGCATAATTTGATTTCTTAATTTCTTTGCAGTCCAATTTAAGGCACAGAACTGTCTCGCAGGCTTTCATTTCTTCAGCAGAACGGACCTCGTCACTAGTGTGAAAAACTCATCACGCTGTAAGTTTCCTTTTTTTTTTTTTGCAATTAAAAGAAATGATTATGAATGAAAGCATGCGGCTCAAAAGTTGGCAAAGAGCGTGGACCTCTTTCCAGCCCCCAACAGATCAGATTTTACACATTCTTCTGCTTGTTCTGGACAGGGATTTTAAGTCTTCCTTTTTCCAAGATGACAGTGATGAAAAAAATCAGCTTCTCAAGGCAGAGCCGAGAACTGAATACTTCGCCCTTGCTATGGTGTCTCTGTGTTGTCATGCCATCACCCAGCTAATTTAATTTGGTGGCATTTGCATTTATATTATTTCATCACCACGCTGAAATCGGAGTGGGCTTTCGCTCTTCACTTCCGAGCAATGTTCAGCAGATTAGGTTGTACAGAATCAGCGGTCATTACAAGCCAGCAATTATTCCCTCAGTTGTCACTGAAATATAATTGATTCCAACAGCTAAAAACTTCCTCAGTCAGGGGGCAGGCGAGAATGCAAAAATAGGCATGGTGTTTGCAGATATTGTGGGAAAATATATGTGCACTTGAAGAGTGGGAACCAATTGAGCAGCCAAGCAAAATTGTCTTCTTTGGTTCTTGGAAGAAGACGCTTCTTCCAGGGTAAGAAACTCACTGCTGAAGTGGGACAGATTGCACTTAGCAGTAGCCCTTAGACTTATATACTGCTTCACAGTGCTTTACAGCCCTCTCTAAATAGTTTTCAGAGTCAGCATCTTATTTTACCGACCTCAGAAGGAAGACTGAGTCAGGATCAAACTCCTGAGAGTCGGCAGAATTAAGTCTGCAATACTGCATTCTAACCACTGCGCCACTACAGCTCTTGTCTTTGGAGATCCCCAAATTCAGAGTAAATCTATGTCAGGTATTTTTAAATTATTTATTTATTTATTAAATTTATACGCTGCCCATCTCACCGATAAAGTGACTCTGGGCAGATAAAGATATAGCACTGCTTATTTCCAAGCTAGTCCTGTGCTGAGCAGGTCTTATCCATTTCATATTCATATTAGTAAAGTTGGAAGGGACCTTGGAGGTCATCTTGTCCAACCCCCTGCTCCAACGGTTGGAAAAGAAAGTGGCCTTGAGATTTTGCCTCTCCGAAGAAGAAGCAGAAGATGGTGGGGACTTTTTCACGGACGAGGCATGGAGTCCTTGCATGACTAAGAGTCACAGTGGCCAAAATTCCAAGGACTTTGACTGGTCAAAGTGGAGGGGTGGAAGGAAGGAAGAAAGAGTTGGACTTTCCGATGCTCTACCAGAAAGAAGCTTCATGGATCAAATCAAGCCATGCCAGATTCCTGAATAGTCCAGCAAATGCCAAAGATAATTATGGTGCAAAAACTACATGTTGGCTGGGGAATCCTGGGAATTGAAGTCCACAGGTCTCAAAGCTGCCAAGGTTGCATACACCTGCTTTAGAGGGCAACCATGTTGGCTGGGGGATCCTGGGAGTTGAAGTCCACAGGTCTCAAAGCTGTCAAAGTTAGACACCCTGATCTAACATTTGCAATTTTTGCTGTCATAAAAGCCATAGAAAATTGAAGAAAAGAAAGTAGAGATTGAGGTTTTTTTAACAGGAAATTAATTTCAAGGTGGTTTGCCCTTTTTGATCTCTGAAAAAGCTCTCTGTTTTATATGTTTTATCTCCCTGCCCCCCCCCCAGTTGATGACAAAGGTGACCTTGTTATCTGGCTAAAAAAAATTGTTCAGACAGACTGGAACCCGCCAACACGGGATGCATATCAATGAGGAAGCGATGTGGACGGATTCCCAGATTCCTTGGCGTTATCAGCGTGATCGACTGCAATAATGGCTGCATCAGAAGCAATCCAGAGAGAGCAGGAATTAAACAGCACACTGTATGGCAAATGAGAGCTGTTGCATTCCTCCTATTCTGCAGGGAAAAGCTTATCTGCTCCCTTTCACATGGCAAATTCCTTCAAACCTCTAAAGATTTTTGCTTTGGTGATTTGGGAAAGAGGGAAGAATTTCTTTTAAAGCCTACATTGCCTGCCATCGAGATTCCCTTTGTCATAAAATGAAGACCAAGGCAGTTTGTCTAGAGCTGCACAATGAAAAGAGACAAGCTGCTTCCGATGGTCAATTTTGCATTGTGTTGTATTAATCCAAGATTTTGGAAAAGGTGCAAATCCCGTTGAATTTTGGCAATGATCACTGTGGCTCTGGGACCAAGTTACTGTGTTTCCTGCTTCCCTGCTTCCAGATCCATTAAACGGCAACTCCCTTCATCTTCCTCAGTCTATTACCAGTTTCTATCTACTTTGGCCAGTTAGGAGAATGGAAACTAGGCGGTTGGCACCGCACAGCTTCGGCAGAGAGACAGACAGGCTGAACCACCTCCGCCCATCTTCAGAAGCGATTGTGTGATTGCCAGCGAAAGCCAGCTTTCCAACAAGCAAAATCAAAGCATGACCGTTGAATTCACTTTTTGTTATTGGTTTAACAACCATCACAGAAAGGGTTGTGAAATTAGGCCTGTCTCACTGAACAATTGCTTTGCTTAGCAGTGGAAACTCTGGACCCAATTGTAGTCGTAAGTTGAGGACTATCTATCTGTACAGCAAGTTGTGCAGGAAACACGTGAACGAGAGAGACCAGCTCCAGTTTCTCTGGCCTAGATGTGTAAAATGCTTTCTGTCTCATTTTAGCCATTTTTAGAGAAAGTCTAGCAAGGTTCAGTTTTAGATCAGCTCTTTTCTTAGCTCTCCCCCAGCAACTGCTGATGTTTCCACATTGAAGCACATTCCACATCCAATCAGCACCGAGGCTGGAATTCTACTGCATGTCTTCCTACTGAGACTGTACAGCTCCCAAAATAAAGATTTCCCATGTGCAACTGGAAACCTACAAGCCAAACCTGAATAAAAGGT